AAATTTTCCTTTTTTCCTTTTTCTCCTCTCATGCAATGTGATTTCCTCTCATGGGTTTTAAGTTGGTTTTTCCTTGTTTCCTTGGACAAGGAGGAATCTCATTGGCTTCAAAGAGAAGCACCCTAGAGATGCTGTTAAGAGGACAGCCTCCGGTCTGATTCAGCCTGGGGTCTCTAGTGACTCACAACTGCTTCTGCTCACTTCCGTGCCTTAGACACCCTCCTCCCCTTAGGGCCTCATGTTTGGAGAAAGAATCAAGTTTTGCCCCTGGTTTAAAACTGCCTACCAACAACTTATCCCACTTGTGCATTTTTAGCACAGTGCTTGGCACTTGGGGATGTTTAATAAAATACTTTCTGAAAATATGTAAAAGAAAAGGACTTTGGGAGATGGTAGGCTATTGGAAGCATCTCAAAGCTCAAATAATCAATACTTTGTCAGCAATTCTCCTGCCTGATGACCAAGCAGTAAAGCCCCTTGTCTGACTCAGAATGTGTTTAACTCATGGATTTGACAGGAATATATTTTTCCTTGGGTCTTTTTTTTTTTTTTAATTTAAAGATTTATTTGTTTATGCATACAGAACCGGAGTACAGACCAGAGGTGTGGTGGTTGGGGTTGTGTGTGAAAGACTTCACCAGAGACAGAGTGGGGGGCAGAACAGGTAGATTGGCGAAGTACACTGCTGAGGAGAGCAGTGGGGGAGACAAGAGAGGTCTGTCAGGCCGTGTGAGTCACCTCCCTGGTGGGGATCAAACTTGTATTGAAGTGGCTGTGGCTGGCAGTGCGCTGTGCTTTAACCTGTTGCGCCACTAGGAAAAGCCCTGCTCTGGGGGTCTTAAGACAACGATAATTTGTATTGTTTTTAATCCTTATTTGTGTCTTCCTTGTGTATCCTCCTGTCTTTTCTATCCTCTAGAAACTGGCTTTTTTTGATTCAAGAGAAGTAGCTGATTTAGAAAGGACATACATTTATCTTAGCACCTAGTAAAAGTGGAATTATATTAGTTTTGAATCCTGAAGTTATGGGGTGTGATTCCACTGATCACTGGTCTGTTTTCTTTCTTTTTTTCTTTTTTTTTTGGATTGTGAGAAAAATGTAAAACCTATAGAAACAGTTAACATTGTGGGCTAACACTTCATTTTACAAGGATTGAAGATAAAAATTAAAAACAAAATCCATCAAAGACATTAGGTCATCAGGCTTGCTGCTGATCTTCTCTTAGCACAAAGGTTACCCTGAGCTATTTCCAATATTTTTTAGAGACCAAATCTTGTCAGATGACTGGGTACCTTAGAAAATGACCTTCAATCAGAGAAGAGGAAATAAGCAGTCTTGTTAAACTGGGCTCTTTGACCAGAACTTCCTCTATAGGGGCTTCCAGAGAGACCCCTTTAATGAAGGTCAGTTTACTGGCCGTGATCAAACCAGTCAAGAATCAGACTGGAGCACTATGTCAGAGGTATGGGGTGGGTCTATCCTTGGCCCGAACCCCTCCATCCCGTCCACCCTGGCCTCTGTCACCAAGCAGCAGAGGGCGGGCATCGAAAAAACACGTTGAAAGTAATGTGTGTCATTTTTACTTCTTTTCTAGGTTTGAGATTTTTAAGAGCTCTCAGACTGATACAGTTTTCAGAAATTTTGCAGTTTCTGAATATCCTTAAAACAAGGTAAGATGTTTGCTCTCATTTTTTTTTTCTTCCTTCCTGTCCCCATTGCCAAGTTGTAAATGTCAGGTGTGTTTGCTTTTGTTACAATAAAGTTTAGAATCCTGTTATTCACAGAGTGAACTCATCACAGAGATCTGGAGAAAGGGGGGGTGGGGTGAGGTGGGGTAGCAGACCACGCACTGGCCGGCAAGACTGAAGCTACCGCTGTGCAAGTGGGCAGTAGACAGCCTGCGGAGGCTTTGCCTGGTTATGGGAGATAAGCGAGGTGCAGGGTGGGTGAGAGAAGGTTCTGCTCCCTGATGGGGAAGTCCTTGCTCCTAGCTTCTGTGTGGCACATTTATTGCAAGAGAGGCAGTGCTCTTTGAGAGGCAATCACCAACCCCATACAGCAAACAGAAATTTCATTTCAAAGTACATTTTCCATGTTCACTTTATAAGGGTCGCCCCTGGGGCTTGCTCTGTGAATTGCCTTTGGGGAATATGTAAAAACCTCCCTCCAGGCTCCAGGACTACTTCTGTTAACTGTTTTTATGATCTGAAAACCCTACTGGGCCAGGAGGAAAAATCTCCGGGATCTCTCTTCTGATGATCTGTAGTTTACAGAACTGGCCTTCACCCAGGGCTGCCTGATGGATAAACTAATAAAAGAGGTTAGACACACTATAATGTAGATTTAGTAGAGCTGTAAATTTCTCTTATAGGAAAGAAGCTCGCTTTAAGAAGCTCGCTCCTAGTGTTCCACTTCCGCTTTGCTTGGTCTTCACATGTTTGTTAAATGATTAAAAAACATGACACCTCTGTACTTTGTGATTTGTAGTTAATACACTTGCTCTGGGGTAGACATGGGGGGACGAGGGCTCAGCACCATTTCCCCAGGGACTGAGGCTGGGACCCAGCTTCCCAAGCCTGTTATACCCAACGTACCACTAGCCTTGACTGTCCTCTAGTGTGTTTATTTTGTTTATTTATTTATTTTTGTTAAGTCTTTATGAATGTGCGGTAAACTCACCCTTTGCAGATACAAAGATGTCAACTCACTTTACCTCCATAAACATTAATTTGGAAAGAAAAGAAAAATGAGCATCTAATACTGTAGATATTTATTGTGTGTCCCATCATCCTATACACTTTCTTTATCTGGGGGTCAGAATTGATTGGTTCTCTATTTAATAGTATCTTATACTATGATATAGGAAGAATATTGTCATTCTCCATATTTCCTCAGAGTGACATAACATTTCTACCTATGGCTTTATTTGCAATGGACTCATATTCCTCTTCAGAGTAAAATTATCAACAAAGTTAGCAATCTCCATTGTTTACTTATGTTGCCTTTGGTCCATTGGACTGTATTTTAGGGCTGTCTTTAAGGGACACTTTTTTTTTAAAGGGGCCTTGTACACACACTACCCAGGATTGTGCCTGTCTTTCTTTTCTTTTGGTGTGCCTCATAAATTAGGGGGATTTTGATTCTTTGGCACCACCATTTAAGGGTGTCACTGCTCTGGAGAATCATGTGCGAGAGCTATGGTCTTACCTTCTTTGTGTTCCATGTGAATTCTTTCTGGATTTGGGAGAATGATAAGCCATCTGAAGAAAAGATCTTTTTCTACCTTTTGCCAGGAGATTCTCCCATTTTTCATTCCTTGGAAGAAGTTCCTTCCTTGGATGCAGGAACAGGGCTGGCATCCCTTGGCACAGTTCCCCTGATAACGTGACAGTTATGGGCGATTCATTTTCTCCATGTAGTGACAGCTGGGTAAGGAGCCAGCTAGGGAAAGAGCGACTCTGTAAACCAGGCTAGCAGCCCTAGTCAGGAATCAAGGAGTGGCAGGCTGTGGGGGTCTGCCATCCTAAGACGTAAACATGCATTTCCCCAGCACCCTCTAGCAAGTGAATTTTTTAGCTCCTTCTCTCATCAGAGGGTGCAGGGGGAGTGTGGGTGCCCCCTGGGGCTGCGAGGCAGAGAGGGTGGTGGGAGTGAGAATGGAGGCCGTCAAGGGTGTTTTCAAGGAAAACGGGGTGTCTGGACATCTGCCTACTGGGTCTGGCAGTCGGCATGACAGTGGGGAAGATGCACTGAAGACGTGAGGCCAGGAGGGCCGGGAAAGGTCACCAGGCACAGGGGAACACCTTACTCTACTGAAGCGCTCTGGCACCTCTAGACAGCGCTTAAGAGAGAACCATGTGCTCCCCATCCCAGGGTGTGGGTGTACCCTCGTTTATTTCAGCAATACACATAGTTTTAATTTTGGGAACTAGAATCACTGTACTACGTATATGTCCGTAGATGTAGCTCCAAGGTTAAATTCTTGAAGAGCATTGGCTATGAAGGCTGGAAGGGAGGGTTTGTGCAGACTAAATTATGAAGGCATTTGGAGGGCATGGATTTGAACTGAGAACAAGAGAGAGTTGTGGAAGGGTTTGAGCAGGAGAGGAATGTAGTCAGATTTGCACTTTAGAATGAGGCCATGAGGCCAGCTGCCTGGTTAACCCAGCTCCTCTCTGTGCACCCACACAGCATAGGTCCTGAAGGTCTGTCCCTGAGAAACGGAAGTCTGGGTTTTTGTAGGGTTTTGGGCTTTGAGTGATTTTCTTGTGAGTCCTCTGAACTTTGCTGCTTTCATGGTGAACTTCTAGGGGCGTGGGTCAAGCCCTAGGATCATGTTTAAGGAAATGTTCCCTGACTTTCTCAGGTGGCCCATTGCCACCAGTCTTTGGCTTTCGGGAGGGACAGAGACATTGCACATGTGGTTTCAATGATTTGAAATTGTGGTTTTCTTTTCTGATTTTTGATTGCCTTACTTGACCAAGAGTTGTAAAAAGTCAAGGCAGAAAAGTATATGGGGAGGGAGAGAGAGAAAGAATCAGAATGAAGGGAGAGACAGAGAGACAGAGAGAGAGGGAAGAAGGAAGGAAGGCTGAATCAAGAGGGCAGCCAAAAAGCCTGGAGTGACTAGGTTGACAGAGGACTAAGTGTACAGCGGCATCCCCATGCAAAAGGTCTGAAGTGCTCTGTCCTAACAATTACCTGTTAAGGGGTCACTGGGAGACTCTATGTCACTGAGACACAATGTCACTGCGGCACCACAAGCCCCTTGCAAACCAGCAACACAAATAGGCGATAGGATACTTAATCTACCGTCAGACAAAGTAAGTCTATTTGAAAGCTACCATTCCACATCTCATTTAATGTGGCACATAGTGATAATTAAAATATGGAGCACTGGGCCCTCCCTGGTGGTGCAGTGGGTTAAAACACAGCACTAAGAAGCTAAAGCCACTTCAGCATGAATTTGATCCCTGCCCCGGAGGTGACCCACATGGCGCGGCTGACCTCTCCTGACCCCTCCGCTGCTCCCCTCAGCAGTGTACTTCGTCAGTCAGCCTGTTCTGCTCCCGACTCTGTCTCTGGTGAATCCTCTCACTGCCCCTGCACCTCTGGCCTGTACCCCAGTTCTATATACATAAGTAAATAAATCTTTAAAAAAATATATGGAGCACCCAGGAATTTTTTGAAAAAAAAAATTCCCTTATGTTTCCTCTAGTTATTTATGTTTCCTCTAATTACCAAAGTGCACTATGCTTATAGTAAACATGATGACAATACAAATACAGGGAGGTATAAAGGGTAAAGTACAATTCCCCAACACCCGTGGGTGCTGTAGCTGCCTTGTTACGAATGTGCTGCCTTGTCCCCACAGCATCCCAGGGCGTGGGTGAACCCTCGTTTATTTCAGCAATACGCATAGTTTTAATTTTGGGAACTAGAATCACTGTACCACGAATATGTCCGTAGATGTAGCTCCAAGGTTAAATTCTTGAAGAGCATTGGCTATGAAGGCTGGAAGGGAGGGTTTGTGCAGACTAAATTATGAAGGCATTTGGAGGGCATGGATTTGAACTGAGAACAAGAGAGAGTTGTGGAAGGGTTTGAGCAGGAGAGGAATGTAGTCAGATTTGCACTTCAGAATGATGCTCCATCCCCCTATGACAGTAAGATTGGGTTTGTAGATGGTAGACCCTGAGGCCAGCTGCTGTTGTCTAAGAGCAGGAGTTCAGGAGGTGATCCAGGAGCACAGGTCAGGTTGAGGAGAGAAGGAAGGGTCTGGAGACATGGAAGGGGGAAAAGTCACAGAACTTGATTTCCCTTTATCTGCTGCCGTGCGGTTCAGGCCATGCGTCATAGGGAGGCCAGTCCACTGCAGGGATGGTTATTTTACCTCCGTCAACAATAAAAGTAAGACTGCTGGCACATGAAACAGAGAGGGGAATGTGGACAGTGGGACACCTGTGCTTCTCTGGGGACAGAGGGGACATTTTCTGTGTTAGCCAGACACATCTGGCTCAGCACAGAAAGCACAAAATGGACTGCGAGTGTTTACAGCTATGATCTCAAACAGAGAGAAGGTCTTGCCCAGTAGCTATGAATTCTGGGAAAGGTCTCTAGCCATGAGACAGCTGTACCAGCCCTTCATTCTATCCACTAATGTGAATTTCTTTACATTAATTTTTAATTTTTATTTTTGCATAGAAGAACGGGGTGTAAGCCAGAGGTGTGGGGGGTGAGAGGATTCACCAGAGAGAGAGTGGGGAGCAGAACAGGAAGATCTGTGAAATACACTGCTGAGGGGAGCAGCGGGTGACACAGGATGGTCTGTCACGGCAGTGGGTCACCTCCGTGGCCAGGATTGAGCTCAGGCCTGGGGGTGGCAGCACTGAGACTTAATCTCTAGGCAATCAGGGAGGCCCCCTAATGTGTATTTCTTTTATGGCCAAGAAGAGCTTAGGGGTTGGAAACCCAGAAATGATTGTGGAAAACATGAGAATGATTTTCTTTAAATGAGCCCCATTTTTATCATAAGGTCACAAAACCATTCCTCCCTGAAGGTGTGCGAAGGGGCTAGAATCTACATGCGGCCAATCCTGTAGCTTTATGTTGGACTCAGCCCCTGGCATGACGGTCCCTGGCAGCTTCCTTTGTGCCACAGGCACACATCCTGCGCTGCCACTTCTCCCTCCTTCCTCAGAGCCCAGGGCCACCTGGTAAAGTGTGATTTTCAGACTCTGCAGAAAGTCCACCAAGAGTTAATTTTGCATCGTCTGCACAGAGCTTTTAGATGATGGCCTGACGGTAGAGTTTAATTTGGAAAGCAAATTTCTAATACTAGGAAATCTGTAATGATGCCATAAAAATAATCAGATTTTAGTGTGGAATATGGACCCTTTCAGCAGCAATGATTAAATGTTCTACACACAGCAAGAGCTCCCTGAAGCACTATTAATATCACCATGACAATCACTTAGAGATTAATAATCACCCTATTTAGGCCGTTTTTCCAAAGCACCAAGAGGCTCAGAGACTCCAGTAGTTGGAATATCGCAGGCAGGCTCCGTGGCTATTGGTGGGATATTTTTTTTGCTAAGGCTCTGAGGATCTGGGTGTCTGAGTGAAGCCAGTTGGTTCTCTGATATATTCTGAGAAAATGAACAGTACACGCTTCCCTGACATCCCCCACTTGGCCACGTATTCCTCATCTCATCTGTTTCTCACTCTCCGGTGTTTGTGCACACCGGCCTTACCAGCTAGATGCAGGCTGGTGTTTGCTATGATTTGCCTGCCCACTGGGGAACTAGTTGGGGGAACAACAGTGCTGGGGATCCCTCTGCAACAGGATGGAAGGCAAGTGTTTGAATAGAACACTTTTTAGTTTACAGGGAGCTTTTGGGCAGGGAAGTCACCTGCTGCTGGCTGCACCCAGGGTTTGCACAGGGAGAGGTTTAGCAGGAAGATCACAGAGCAGGAGGGCAGCTTACCGTGTGTAGTCAGAGTGGGACTCCTGTACCCCAGATAGAGACCACTGTTTTTCAAGGCACTTAAAGTGTAGTGAGTTACAGCTATTCTGCTCAGCGAATACCAGTGCTGTGGAAATTATTCGGCATAAGTTGTCAGGGAACAGGATATTCAAGGGGTCCCTGAGTCGCACTATGCAAATGGCCTATTAATTACAAAGGGAAACAGGAGCCTCTGAGTGGTCAGCGCTGGTGTTCTCGCCATAACCAAGTGACTGGGCCTCGTGTAACTGAGCTGGGTTTTCCTCATATGACACACCCCCAGCAGGTGTTCTTTCCAGAAGCTTTTAGAGAGGAGCTTTTGGACAGAGCCAGAATACGGAGCGTTCTGTTACACTAGTGGCCTGGGTACACAGAAAATTAAATGTCATTAAAAGGAAACCAAAAAATGACAGGAGGGAACTGGCAAACTGCAGTATAGCCCATGGGCCCATTCAGCCCTCTTCCTGTTTCTGTCAATAAAGTTTTATTGGAACACAGCCACACTCCTGCTTTTATGCCACAGCTGCAAAATTGAATAATTGCCACAGAGGTTCTGACTTGAAAAGTCTAAAATGTTTATTATCTGCCCCTTTAGAGAAAACGTTTCCTCACTTGTTGACTGAAGCAACATATACCAAATACAACATAGGAAGCTTGATTCATTTCTGGATCAGGGTAAAGAAAGAAAAGCTTTAATGACCCTAATTTGGGGGTCAGCAAAATTTAAATCAGGGCTGCCTATGAGAGGGTGTTACTGAATTTCTGTCTTTTTTTTTTTTTTTTTTGTAGGCAAAACAAGGGGGTGGGGAGAGAAAAAGAATAGAGATAAAGCAAGAAGCAAGTGGCCACCGTGTTAATTGTCTGGAGTGGGTGGTGGGTGAACAAGGTTTCGTTTTACTGCTTTTTAAAGGAGATTCAAAATAAAAGTTAACTAAGGAAATGCTAAATCAATGTTGGAGGATTCAGTGGAGGGGCCACTTTCCGTATCCCACATTCACAGTCCGCTAGGCTCTGAGGCTGATGTAGTCTGACCAGTTTATGTGGCTTCTGCTGGTGCAGAAAACGTCGGGGAATTAGAGCTGAGCTGGCTCAAGGGGGCGCTGTCGCGCTAGGAGGAAGCGACTCTTGTGACTTGGAGGTTTTGTTCCGTGTGTCTTTTGCACAGTAATTCCATCAAGCTGGTGAATCTGCTCTCCATATTTATCAGCACGTGGCTCACAGCAGCTGGGTTCATCCATTTGGTAAGTATCCCTTGAAGACACTTGAGCTCGGCCTCTACTGGGTCAACCCCTTTCTGAATCATTTTAACCTGAAATTTCCCTCTCCGGAGAGAAACTTCACCCTATTGTAAAATGTAGAAAAAGGAGAAGCAACTGCACAAATACTGGAGTTTCCAACCCTTTTACCTAAAGTAGTTCCAAATGGTGAGTAATATTTGCATCATTGACCTGCATTTTCTAGTTCACAGGTGTTGCTGCGGGGGCTTTCAATTTTTTCCCATTCCGTCTGCGATAACCTCAAACAGCCGCAAGATGGCAGTGCTTCCCCAGCCAATGCCTGAAAATGTCTGTAGCCAGGATTGGACGTTTGACCCACATCTCTTAGTAAATAACAAATTCAGATCCCTCAATTTCTCTCCATTTCCCCCTTACAAAATCCACATTTAATTCCTTTGCCTGATTACTTGTCAAGTTACTTCATATCGCAAAAATGTTAATTCTTTTAAATTGATGACTCTTTGAAAGCCTTGTATTATTAAGTCAAGCTGTGCTCCACCTCTCCCAGGCAGACTTGGAGTTCCCCTTTGGGAAGCTCAACTATTGCCGGGAGTGTGTTTCATTCAAACACAAAATGTTACAACAGGAAGGAGCTGTGTCTGACTCTGAGACTGAAGGTGCCCTTCCCTTGCTGAAGTTTTGCCCTTACGACTTGGAGGGAAGCTTTTACTCACCTGCCACCTGGAATTTAGAATATTATCACCCAAACAAGACAGCCCAGGATGGACAGAAGCAAGGCACAGGAGGAGGGGGGCTCCCAGCCACTAGATCTGATGGTTCCCCACCCCTTTCTTATGCTGATGGAAATATTGGCCTTCCCACCCCCTAGATAATCAGCCCGATCCTCTTAGGTGCCCACTTCATAGACATACACGTGGAGGGGGTTACTTCTCTTCAGTGGGCCCAGTGATGCCACCGAAGAGTTTGTGAAGTGCCTGTGCTTCTCTCGGAGGCCTCCATGTATCTGTCTCGCTGTGGGTGAGGTTGCTCTGGGAGAGGGCAGGTGTCAGGACTTTCTTCAGAGACTGAGGTGGAGACATGCGGTGGGCCACAGGCACTGGTCACGGGTGTCGTGGGGCGGCCTGACTGGACACCCGGCTCTGGAGAGCAGAGCTGGCTGCAGGACCAGCCTCGTCTCTCTCCCGCCTACCTCCCAGTTTTGTTAGCAGCCCAGATGTGTCAGGCGCTCAGAAAAGTATCTGGTAAAGCAGAAGCAGAGATGGGCAAAGGACAGCCTAGGGCGAGGCTCTCCAATTCCACCTTCCCACCATGGGTCCTGTCATCTCTGGCTGATTTCCTGCTGCAAAGCAGGGTTGCTTTGCTTCAGAGATCAGAAACTGTGTAGCCTGCAATGCTGAATGTAGTTGCTCTTTGGCCCTATGCAGAAAGAAACTTGCTGCCCTTCACCTAAAGTGCAAGCACAAACTGGCCACATGCTGGCTTTTCCTGCTCCCAGGGACACGCCGGCTGTCTGTGGGGCAGAGCCTTCCTTTCAGCTTCTTCTATCCATATAATGCTTTCTCTTTTTCTCCCCAACCCTCTTTCTCTAGGTGGAGAATTCAGGGGACCCATGGGAAAACTTCCAGAACAACCAGGCTCTCACGTACTGGGAATGCGTCTACTTGCTCATGGTCACCATGTCCACTGTTGGTTATGGGGACGTTTATGCAAAAACCACACTTGGGCGCCTCTTCATGGTCTTCTTCATCCTCGGGGGACTGGTAAAAAAATTCTTTTTTATAGCGTTGATTTTTATGGTCATTTTTAGTGTTGTCCATTTTCCTAGAGCTTTTTTTTTTTTTTTTTTTTTTGACACTGTTACTGTGTTAGAAGCGAGTGACTGCCTTAGTGTCAGCATCAGGCAAATCAAATACAAACATAGTGATTTTTCAGCATATTTCTTTGGTGTGTTTGACGTGTTGGCTGTAGACAGCGGCACGTTGACCTGAACAGGGACAGCCGTTTTGCCAGGAGTAAGCCTCGTTGGCCTAAGAAAGTGATGCTCACTTACCAAGTGAGAGTGTCTGTCTCTTGGTCCTGTCGCTCGGCACCTGCTACCCTGGGAGGTGCCCCCCTCCCCTGACCTGGGCATGGTCTCAATTTACTCCAGAGACAGTTTGCGGTTTCAAGAACTTTCTAGTTTCCTTCACAATCCTCCCCAAACTTCCAACAAACACTGTGGCTGGGACCTAACCTAAAGAGTAGGGTCCCCGCATCAGACACGGATTCAACCACGTGAGCCCACTGATCCCATCATGCGGCAGCATGTGGGGTGGTGCTCCCCTTAGTAAGCCACAATGTCTTAATGTTTGATGCTCTTCAGCTATGATGTGATTTTCTAAGGGGATGTCTGGGAACACATACTGGGGGTGGGGGGGGTCATTGCGTGTGGTCCACGTTACTTAGATTTTTGCTATGTATAAGATAAACAATTCAAATCATAATCACACACAGCCTTAGTCATGTACACTGCCCATGCATTTATAATATGCATACACATCTGTCTGTTTTGTATGCATATGACACATACATTTTTTAAATGTATGTAAATGCACCTCTGGGTGTGTACATGAATCAAGGGGCTCCATGGTCTCCCCGAGGCCCTGTAGATGAGACCACCTGATTATCCAGCCACAGCACAATGTTTGTTGGACAAAACATGGCAGGTTTGTTTCTCTTCACTTTTCTTTCCTCCCACGTGATTCCCTCAGTTTACCTTATGTGCGTTTTAGAGATTTTTTTGAGTGGAAAGTTTGTATTTTTAATACTATCTTCTGATGTTTGCCTTTAATCAATCATAAAGACCTGGAGTCTCCTTTAAATGTTGATTAGAAAGAAAGGTCTTCTCCCAGTCATGTGTGTACATGTATGTTTGTGCACCTGTGAGTGTGTGTGCGACTTCACCAGCCTGTGCTCCCTTCCTTCTCTGTCTTTAGGTAGAAGAGGTAGACGTCAGCTTATTTATTCTTGTCTCTTATTTTTTTCTTGACTGTGATTTTTTTTTTTTTTTAAGCTAGCTAGGTAGGTTGACTAAGGTTTGTGTTGTCCTGTAATCTTCAGGATCTTGCCCTTTTTTGTGTTTTGATTATTTTTAAAAATAATCTGACCTATGACTGTTGGAAGGTTCTAATCCTTATGTGTTTCCAGATCTTAGTACCCCCCCTTCTGAAAAGGTCACCCCTTTCTTTGGCCTGTCTTTTTAGTCTCTCTTCTGTCTCCTATCTTCTCCTCAGGCCATGTTTGCCAGCTACGTCCCTGAAATCATAGAGTTAATAGGAAACCGCAAGAAATACGGGGGCTCCTATAGTGCGGTTAGTGGAAGAAAGTAAGTATGCCCAGAGGTTTTGCTGCCTCCACTGTGGGAGAATCCTCTCTGCATGCCATTTTTTTTTTTTTTGGCTCTTGTTTCTTTGTTTCATGCATGTAGGCAATGTTTGCTCGCTACGTGCCCGAAATCGCTGCTCTCATCCTGAGTCGGAATAAATTCGGCGGGACTTTTAACAAACATGGAGGCAGAAAGTAAGTCAGTTGCATCAGGAAAGATGTGGTTAAGTGACTTGCAGAGGTCCCTATGGCGGCGACACCTGATCTTCTTCCACCCACCCTGAGGCTGCTGTGAGGGAAGGGCCATGCTCTGTGTGGGCAGTGAGCATCACGCAAATACAGAGCCCTGTCTGCATCCTGTTTCATCCCCGCCTGCCTTTCCAGGGGACACATGAATGCATTCTGGAAGGGTTGAGCCACACTCTTTATTCTGATTCCTAACAAGTAAACTGAATTTCATCTTTCACACCCACTGGCTTAGAGATGACATTCTGCTCTCTCACATCAGTGGAATACCATCCTCTGCGGGTCTTGTGCAGTGATAACATGGGATCATGCTTCAGCAGGGAAGCTTTAGGCAGGGCAAGATCAAGGTGACCTTGCCTACTGGAAGGCATTGTGGGTACTTGGAGCCAGTTCTCCCCAGTTTGGAGAGACTACATTTGTCTTCATAGAGACTCACTACTCAGTTGAAATCCCTGCTGAGTAAGACTGTTGTGTTTGTGGAATGTTCTGGCACCGCCTGCCCCTCCTGATGAGTCTTTTGTTTGCTCCCCATACATGAATGTTTCCTTCTCTGGGGCTATTTTAATTTGCGTTAAGATTTCTTGATCAGTAGCAAAATTAATATATAAATTCACTATCAATCAATAGTTTTACTGCTAGGTACATGCAGGGACCTCCTTACCATGGCCTTCTGCCCGAGCAACATCTTGAGTGGAGAATGTGGTGGGAAAGCAGAATAGGCTACCAACATTCCTCACTTTTTTTTAAAGCTTGATTTTATTTATTTATTTATTTATTTATTTTTGGACATTCAGCTTTGTTTTTGCTTTGGAGGTGTAATTTCCACAGAAAAAGATGTACACATCTTTAAAATACAACTAAGGAATTTAGAGCTAGATGCACACCAGTAACTGTCACCCAGACTGACGGAGTATTTTTACCATCGCGCCCTTTCTCAGTCATAGACTTGGCTGCCTTTTCCCATTGGTTTTCAAATGAAGTCTTGAATGGGCTTTTTTTTTTTTTTAAGCAAAAATAAAACTAGTAACATCACTATCCTGCCACGGCTCCTCCTTGCTTGACAGTTGGCCATGCTGGACGGAGCAAATGCCTCTCCCGTCGGCCATCCCACTGTTTCCTGAGCTCAGGTGTCCAGTCTTCCCTTCAGAAAATGAGGAGGTGGGAAAAAAAGGCTCATTTTCTTGAACTACCCACAGGGCACCAGTTTCGGTCCGGAACAAAGGACAGTGGGTGAGAGGAGGCCAGTTGGCCTCTTTTCCATGAAGGCAGCACATTCCTCCACCTTCCTGCTAATGGAGCCCTCCTCGTCCTATTATCTTAACAGCCCTGAATGAGATTAGAACCAAGCTGTTCTGATTTCTGGGCCATTGGTTGAATCCAAAAGGCCAAATAAGTCCAGAGATTCCCATTGGTCGTGGCCAAGAGGAAAACAGCTTCTCTATTCATTTTGCCTTTAAGAAGTGGACAGGTCGCCTGCCATAAAGCAGAAGGCTCGCGAGGGCTGGGGCTCTCTTTATGATCTCCTCGCCCTGCTGTCTCAGCCAGCATTTCCTTAGCAAATCAATTGTCCTGAAGTCGATGTTGAAAATATTTCTTGACTTTCCAGGTAAAATTATTTTTCCCAAAATATTTTCGCTAGTGAAATGTGGGTGGGCCCAGTGGTTTTGCTTGATGGTGAACCAGATGAAGCCCACACAGCAGAGCTCATCCCCTGCTGGTCTGCTCTGGCACTTCCACCCCAGCCCCAGCATGCTGATGTCGCTTTGTTCTGGCTCCGTTTGTCATCTCTTTTAGTTTATTTCTCCCTTTTTCTCTTTTCTCCTCACGTATGAACATGCACCCTTTGCTTTCAGTGTACGCTTTGGGCGTCCCATGTCCCCAACCCAATGGACAGGGAATAGGTCCTGTCATCAGCACCAGGACTGTTCCTTTTACTTTACGCATTGTTTCCTGGTTCAAAAGCTAATTACTAAGTAGTTTAAAGAAGCCCTTTGGTCACTTAGATCTTTCATCAGAAAATATAAGCTTGGGGAAGGAACGGTAATAGAGGGCCATTAGCGCCCTTTGTTTGAGGTTGTTTTTCCAGTCAGTAGAACAAGATTGATGAAATGTTATGTTTGGCCAAAATTTGAGTTTTCATTTGGAATTCAGTGTTGAGAGAATGGACTGTCAGAATCAATAAGTTTTCTTTCGCTTGGGATATGGGCATGTGGTAGTAATTAGCAATATAAGGTCTTTAGTTGAGCAACCAAGCATGGATTCTGGCAGCAAACATAATGAGAAACTACAGTTGTTCTATTTCTAACGTCAAAAAGTTTCCAGATAAAATTAAATGCATTTGCGAAAGGAAAGCAGCTAAACTTTGTTGAAAGCTGGAGTTCAGACTCTTAAAATAGCATGCTGCGTGCCGTGTTTTTGTGTCTGCATAAATATATGTGCTGCACTCATGGACACACGTACGTATACTCTGCTCCCTAGGATTTCATGAAATGAGTGCCCAGAACATAATTAAAACATAGACATAGGGATTTGTTTATGTGTGCATATTTTACTCACATCTATCCTCTCTAACTGTGCATTAAGTTGTCAGAGAACTTGAAGTAACACTTGACCCAAAGCTACGGAGACATATAACTTTGAAATTCAAAGATTATTGAAAGTCAAGAGATGTGGGCAGAGACATTTTCAGGGCTTTGTTTATGCAACACCCAATTTTGGGATATTGGTGAGTAAGGAGATCTCACTGGCACCTCGTTTTCAGTGTTCATCTGTGCTATCTTCAGGCATAATGTGAACACTTACTGTGTCCAGAGCACCTTCACTGTCAACATGGTCTCAGGGGCTGCAAGTGATTTACTCCAGCATTCCCACCCACAGTCCTCACCTGACCTCCTGAGAGTCATACAGACCATCCCACAGTATATGTGGGACGACATGTGTACATGTATGTCAGGGGCATTCTCATGGCTCTTACTGTATTGGGACTCTGAAGAATAGGGACTTGAGAGTCAGTAGCCATGAGTTCCCTGCGTGGCCCAGGGAGGCATTCTCTCCAAGCTGAGTCCCCAGATCTTATTCAAAAGATAACCCTCCTGCAGCCCAGCCCAGCCCATGAGTAGCCCTCCTCATGTCCCTGACTCGTCTTCCTTTTATGCAAGGTCAAAGCTGTTCAGAGGTCAGGAGGCAAAGGGATGAGGCTCCCATGGCCTTGGGGGTCCCAGCTTGTTCCCCTTCCTCCCACAGCCTCTGCAGTTTCCCCCAGAGGTTTCCTCTGTGCATGTGACTCAGACCAGTCCTGGTTAGTTTATGAGAACTGACAAGATGATGGCCCAAGGTCACATGGCCAAGGGCCATGGAAAATAATCGGCCACAGGGAAGAATCCATGTGCTGCAACCCCTTTGTTAGAGGCAGCCAGACTGGGGAGCCATCCAAACTTTATTTTCCCATGATGGGCTTCTTGGGCCCCAAACTGAGGCTGTCCTATGTCAGGTGTTTGGGACACGGAGAATGGGATGATTTGGATAATTCTACTATTCCTGGTAGCCAAATGTTAGAGGACACAGAAAGAGATGAATGAACGAGAGAGAGAAAGTAGTAGGCAAAGGGGGTGGGAAAGTCAATGGAATTAATGTGGGGGCAAAATTCCCGACTTGATGAGGAAGGTGATATGACCCCTTTCTGGCTGGGGAATAGTTGTCACAGGTAACTGGATTCCAATTCAGGAAAGCTGCCTGTGAAAATTAAATGCTAGAGGCTTTTTTTTTTTTAGAACTTTTTTCATGTAGACAGGAGTGTGTACGTACTTCTGGACACAAGATTAATTGGGATTGCTCAACCCCCTACGACTGCCTTCTATGTTGGTAATGATATCTACAAACACTCATTTCTTTATTTCTTTTTTTTTATAACATTTATTTTTACATCATTTTGTACATTTTTATTTTCCATATCAATTGTAATCCCCACGGGTTTCCCATCACCAAGTCACCCGTGTGCCATCACCATAATCCCATGCACTTCCCTCCCCAACCCTCCCCTCCCCCGTTTTTGATCCCATTCCCCACTCCACCCCCACAAAATGTCTCTGGTATATGGTTGTTCATTATTCTTGTTATTTTCTCATCTGGTCCATTATACTCCTGCTATGAGTGAAACCATCCGGTAATTTTCTTTCTCTTTCTGGCTTATCTCACTAAGTATGATCTTTTCCAGCTCCATCCAAGTTGCTGCGAAAGACATGTGTTTCTCTTTTTTGGTTGCTGAGTAATATTCCATTGTATATATGTACCATATCTTTTTAGTCCAGTCATTTACTTTTGGGCATTTGGACTGCTTCCATGTTTTTCCAATTGTAAATAAAGCAGCAATAAACATGGGGGTGCAGGTATCTTTTTCAGTCAGTCAAACACTCACGTATTTCTTAATCCACACAGCAACTCTGTGAGGAAGTAATGTTTTTATCTCCATTTGGAAGGGGTAAGGAATTTTCCATCAAATTTTAATATACACCATAAGGGAAAGGAAGAGAAGGGTATGAGTGTCATGCTAGGCTTGTCTCCTCTGAGGATCCTGGCTCAGGTCAAGGGTGTAAAGGGGGCAGACAGAAGCCAATTCTTTCTGGGTTTTTCTCATAGTGCTAGACGAGACATACTTACCCTTGCACATTTGTCACATTGAGAAGCTTTCAAGGATGGACAGAGCATTGCCCACGACCCATGATGAGATCTGTGCCTTATTGGAGGGTTACAATACTT